AGTAGTAGTAGTAGTAGTAGTAGTATATATATATATATATATATATATATATTGTATTGTCGTTATATAAGTGCATGCAAACATACTCACTTTCATATATATTTCATGATCTACTTTAATTGCTCAAACTCTTATACAGGTGTACGATAAGGACTTATTGCGCCGTGAAATGGTTGGGGTTATAGATCTGCCTGTGGACATGAGTGACTTACAGGAATATAAAGAAGATTGGTACGACATTCTTAAGGACAAGGATGGCTCGAGCAAGGTATGCTTGTCGCGCTAAATTGTTCCGTATGGTGTGTGAAACTACAGAGTGTAGTAGATATTAATAGCACCCTAGTACGAGATGCCAGCTCTGATGAAGATCGTCAGTAGTCACTGTGTCTTTGTTCGTTCAAGGTTGAGGTTTTTATCACTCTGGTATGTTAAACAACTTCTCGCTTGGGTACACAAACAGTCACCTTTGCTCAAGCGACAATAGGTCATTTGAGAACTATCACAATCTGCTTTCCCGAACTCCAGTCTGACAGCTCACTGATTTGCACACCTTGCTATTCTTCTACAACGCTGACCAGGCGTTTACGCACATACATCAGTTTGGCTGTGTATCTGGCTAGCTCACGTTATGTACACTTCACAATAATTTCATGAAAGGACTCTGTGCCGCGTTTGGAGTGCGAGTTGGCTATGACTGTAGTCTGCGTTTGCAGCGTAGTGCATCTCTTCGCAGTTGTCTCAGTGCTAGACCGTTCAGTTCTTTTTGTCTCCTTTCATTGAATCGTCTTACAGAGTAAAGGTAGGTAGTTTATTTAGCGCATTTGAAATCAGAAGTGCATGTAACTACTATGATCTTGGTGATGTCTCTCTATCAACATACGGGGTCAAGGTATACTACTATTTCAACACAGTTGAAGCCATATGCGCATGTTGCTACTATCATCGACATAACAACTCCCCGTCTACTGCCACACAGTGTAAAGGTAAAATACTCATTTAGTGCAGTTGCAGTCATATGTGCATAATGCCACTGTCACCATGGCAACTCTTTGTCTACTGCTACACAGGGTAAAGGTAGAATACTCATTTAGTGCAGTAGTAGCCAAATGTGCACATTACCACTATCACCACCATGGCAACTCTCCGCCTACTGCTACACAGGGACAAGGTATAATACTGATTTAAATGCAGCTGTATTCATATGTGCACATCACCTCTATCATCACCATGACAACTCTCCGTCAACTGGTACACATGGACAAGGTACAATACTGACTTAAATGCAGCTGTAATCATATGTACACATCACCTCTATCATCACCATGACAACTCTCCGTCTACTGGTACACAGGGACAAGGTACAATACTGATTTAAATACAGCTGTAATCATATGTGCACATCACCTCTATCATCACCATGACAACTCTCCGTCTACTGGTACACAGGGACAAGGTACAATACTGATTTAAATGCAGCTGTATTCATATGTACACATTACCTCTATCATCACCATGACAACTCTCCGTCTACTGGTACACAGGGACAAGGTGTAATACTGATTTATATGCAGCTGTAATCATATGTACACATTACCTCTATCATCACCATGACAACTCTCCGTCAACTGGTACACAGGGACAAAGTACAATACTGATTTAAATGCAGCTGGAATCATAGGTGCACATTACCACTATCATAACCATAGCAACGCTCCGTCTACTGCTACACAGGGAGAAGGTAAAATACTGATCGGAGTGCGCGTCACAGATGGTCGCAGAAAGGTCACAAAGGACGGTGGTTTACCCACCGAATACATGAGCATGGCCGACGGTGAGACTGATTGGATGTCGCGTATTTCAATTGAATAAGAAGACATTGTCAGTGCTGATGGTATAGTAGACACTTTGAGTACGGTGATACAATTTTGTATAGTAGTGTAGCATAGCCTTGCAATATGACATAGTGTGAGTATAACATATTACTTTATAGTATATCGTAGGATAGTATAGAGTGCGGTAGTATTAGATAACACTACGATATCATTGACACTGTCGTTTAATTCTGTCTTATTTTATCTTTTCTTGTTATCACAGATGCCCAAATTATCAAGCGGTTAACTCAGCAGGTTGACCCCGTGAGTCTGTTTCTGGCCATGCCACGCGTCATGGTATGTCTCTACACGCTGTGTGTTAGCTTTATGTAATACAACAGGTAACTGCATGGGTGTCAATGTACGATGAAGTATGAGATGAGCTACTTACGTCCATGTGACTATATACATAGAACTAGACTGTGAGATGCATATGTTATACTTACGTCCATGCGACTACATACATAGAACTAGACTGTGAGATGCATATATTCTTGTGCAAATGATAGGTTGAGTGGTGCTGGATGATTCTAAGTAGACATAAATGGTACTACAGAACCAGGTATACATCCAGCAGTAGCAAATACATTTGTATCTGTTGCTTCTTAGCCGCTTATCTATAAGTCAATACAACCCCCCCCCCCAAGGACATCATGCCAACTAACTACCTGGGTCCTCACGAGAGATGGGTATCAGAATAGTCGACGTTTACGAGATAAAACACACACACCACACACACACATGACACATACACAAAAGGATTGACTCCGTAAGACACACTGATATCGGCCATCAATCTGAGCACACTAATAAGTATCTTCCGTTTTTGGTTCGTTCTCCGCAGATTGTCATGAAGAGGAAGGCACAGAAAGCGAGAGAGGCGGTGGAGCTGCGCAATTCGTCTGATTATATCCCCAAAAAGGTATACAACGAACGACTGTCATCTGAGTGAGGCAAGGCGTTCACAATGGATACCTTATTGTGCATAGCTGGGTGTAGAGTTTGTCTGTGGGTGTATTATGTATCATTGTATCTCATGTATGGAGGGGTATATATTATAACGTGTGTACAATGAATACGCTTATTGCGCATAGCTGGGTTTAAAGTGTGTCTGTGGGTGTATTATATATTGTTGTATCTCAAGTATGGAGAGGTATTTATTACAAATTGTGTGCGATGAATACTTTTTTGTGTATAGCTGGTTTTAGAGTGTGTCTGTGAGTGTATTATATATCGTTGTATCTCATGTATGGAGAGGTATTTATTATAACTTGTGTGCGATGAATAATTTTTTGTGTATAGATGGTTTTAGAGTGTGTCTGTGAGAGTATTATGTATCGTTGTATCTCATATGTATGGAGGGGAATTTCTTATAGCGCGTGTACGTTTGGGACTCTTTATTTTTCACTCTTGGACTCTATATCTGTGTGAACGTCTAGCAATACCAATGGACCTAATGGCGACGTCACATCATTCAACGCAGCAGATCAGTTTGACTGGCAGTGTAGAACTGCGCGGTAAGTGCTCTATCTTCCCTATGTTTCGGAATCAGCCCAATACGCACCGTTTTATTTGCGCTTCAATCGGTGTTGACTCTGGAGAGATATGCTATTTTAGGATTTGCAGACTCTAAATGGTGTTTAGGGGTTGGGTTTGGGTTAGGATTAGTGTTAGGCTTAGGCTTTGGCTTTTGGTTTCCGGGTTTAGGGATACAGATCTGTATAGTGTTTATACGAGCCGGGAAGCAGGTGAGCTTTCTACATTCTGATTGGTTGTGTTCTTTTAACGCTGTTGCTGTCCCAAGTATTAAAATGCACTGTCTCCGTATCAAAAACTTCTGCTAATCGGATGAGCAGTGATGTGGTCAATGTTTTCTTCCAGGCCGGTGTAGTATGTATACCCACCGTGATATTACTAGTTGGCCGGTGTAGAATGTGCATTACTAGCTGGACGGTGAAGTATGAATACCTACAGCGATATTACTAATTGGAGGTATTTCTCGACAAACCGTGCTGGTAACCGAGTGTAAGCCTTTACAGCACTGCCCCTGAGGTGTATGCCCTTTATGCCCTTGTCTAACAAATTCTCGTTGATGCCGTGTTCACAGGTTAAAAATGAGAGTTCGGAGAGAAAACAATTGAATGATCGGCTAGAGCTTCTAGGCCTTACCTTAAAGGAGAGTGAGGGAGATGGCAACTGCCAATTCCGGAGCTTTTCGTTCCAATTGTACGGCACGCAGGTGTGTTTTTAGGACGGGTTGATGCCTGAATCTACGCCTAAACATGCCAATTGTAGTTTTATCTAATTTGTAATTACTACCAAGTCTACAGCAAGCGCGTCAGCGGTTGTTAGTCGTTATGCTGCTGGTGTATGTAGGCAAGCGCTATCTAATATGATCTACAATTAATCAGGAACATCTATATTTGTGCTATATGCTTCTTTCTTGTCTTCTGAGGTATGTCGTATGTCTGTCAAGACTCAAATGATATAATGTGACGAATTCAACTCATGTGATTGTCTATCGGTGTGCGCGTGTGTGTGTGTGTGTTCGTATGCGTATGTGTGCGTGTGTGCGCATGTTTTCCTCTGTGCAGCATGTAGGCGTACTATATCGTATTATGAAGGTTGAGGATTGCATTGATATCCCAATTCTGTATCCAGGAACATTACAAAGAGATACGTAAACTGATCTGCCAGTGGATGAGAGATCACAGCGAGTCCTTCAGCTTTTACTTCAACGGAGATGCGGAGTGGCAGTCGTATCTCAAAACAATGTATGTATGCGACACACGTCGTACTTGTTGGAATTGGAAATAGTAGGTATATCAAATATATTCACTTCGTTGTTGGACTTTTTGGGATTGGTAGGTATTGCAAAGACATTCTTTTCATTGTCGTATGTTTTAAAATTGGTAGGTATTTCAAATAGATCCACTTCATTGTCATACTTTTGGAATTGGTAGATATTTTACATTCACTTCATTGTCGTACTTTTTGGAATCGGTAGGTATTTTAAATAAATTCACGTCATCCTTTTCCCATTCTACTTTAGATTCTCAATGATACCTAAGGTTGTCAGGTTCTGTCTACTAGTTTAAACGCGTGCGCAAACACATCATTAAATGCCAGGTATACGAAAGTTGGGTACAGCACTGCACACTGTTATTTCTCTGGAAGGCCCATAAATATGTGTGTATGCAAATTGATATATAAATATGCAAACGAATTGGTGTGTGCCGATATGTTAATCCATGGCAATTTGTCCGTGTATTCACACAACACAGAAGCGCTTACATAGCGAGCCTTCATGTTCTCGAGGTGGATAGAACGCACACTGGTGCTTATACTGCCTAGGCATTACATACCAAATAAGTATACATAGCCTATATTGTGTAGACCCATATGGTAAGAATACTATAGCGTAATACATTTCCACATACAATTTGTGTCATTCTAGTGTATATCGTCAGATGGTTATGCACCACCTTATCCTCTCTACGGCCTATTGTGAGCATGTCAACACCAGAGGTTTGTAATTCATATTCTCACAACAAAATCATGTCTTATCTCTAGAAATTTCTGACCCTCAACCCAAGCCTATACGTTTGGCCTCCTTATACGTTCATTTATGGCTACGAAATCGTAGGAGTCGAGACCGAGAATGGGGAGATGAGCTTACTCTCAAAGCTGCTTCTGATGTGCTGGGTGCTAATGTATGTGTTTATTTATGTGCCGATGGATGTGATAATATAGGTGTTTATACAGATGTAATCAGTTTGAACATACTTGTCAGTGAGATACGAACAAAATGTGTACTATATTATACTTCCATAATAGGTGCTGGACCTGAAATTTTTGTCCCAAACATGTATTGGACTATCTCAAAATTGTCAATTGCTTGATCTGTCACCCCAAAAAGTATAGCATAATATTAATAGTCCTCTCTTTCGCGGAGGGGTTTAAGGCGCTTTGTTGCAGCTTGTTCGTATATAGCTATTACTTCCATACCTTTGAAGCGAATACGTTGAGTACATTCGTTTTTGTCGTTGTGCTGAGAGGTTTGGTTCTATTTGGACATGGGCAGCGAACCCTGTTCCCAAAGTATAGCACAACTAGATCAATCGCATGAATGCAATGAAACGAAAATTGCATCCAGTAGCATTCCTGGCCTTGGTCAGGGATTTAATTTGCGTCGCCGTCATGATAAAATCGGGAATAAAGCTTTTGTTTTTGGGGGGGGGGGGGGGCACACGAAATTTGTAGCAGATTTGTGGACTATAGACGAATGTGATGCTTTAAGATGCGCTGTTGTTAAGTCGAGCCAAAACGTATACACGCGAGCTTGAACGGCTACCTGTAGCGTAGATCTTGTATATGTACTGTTCTCCGGGATGAAGTATCAAAGCGTTTGCTGCAAGTGTCTCTTTTTCTTTCATGGTACCATCCCTTGACCTCAGCAACTCCTTCTGCAGCTCACACCATATTCATAACAATCACACGGTCAAAGTAAACGAATTGCCGTGTGTCTCAGTTTTCTTGAACATAAAACACAAATCCGAAGCCAGAGATTTGTCACGTAAATATATAAATATGTGCAGATTTTCTCCTGCCGTGTTGAGAAGAGCCCAGAATTGTGGCCAAGACTTCAAATTAGCGGCCACACAATCAAGAAGATGCCTTCGACGCAGCATTCGATTAAGATTATTGGCGCCTCCCATTGTCTACAAGCACATCCCGCTACTATACTATGCAATACCCTTCCTGCATATATATATGTATATACATATATATATATATATATATATATATATATATATATATATATATATATATATATATATATATATATATCACGATGTATTCTCCAATCTCCTATAGAACCCCCACATCCCGCTACAACAACGCGCACCCTGCATTCGTTCCCCTATACACTTTGCAATATCCCATCTCCAAACAACATCTCCGATTTTTTAATACTCATTGTATTGAATATCCGATTTTTAATACTCTTATTGTATTGAATCTCCGATTTTTAATACTCTTATTGTATTGAATCGCCGACTACAGGTGCATGTGGTGAGTTCCACCCTGACAAATTGGTACTTGACCTACACGCCCGATGCCCAGCCTCAGGAACAGCGGAAACAGATATTTCTGGCGTACTTGTCGCCGGTGCATTACAACTCCATAATACTGAATAAGGATGCGGCCGCATACTCCACACCCAATACGTCAAAGGAGAACTTGAAGGATGCGTAGCATATAGATTGTAGGGTGGGGCAAATGCGACCGATACCTAGCAGTGAGGGTGGATAGGCTGATATGTAATGGTTCAAATAGTTACTAGCCTGATAAAAATAAAGTGAGAGCCACTGAGGATAGTCTGATATGTGACCGTTTAAGTAGTTCCTAGCTTGATATATATAAACAACGTGATACCCACTCAGAGTAGTCGGATATGTATTGGTATAAATTACTAGCTTGGTATAAATAAAGCGAGACCACTCAGGATAGTATGATATGAATTTTTTTAACTAATTACTAGCTTGGTATATATCAAAAGAGAGCCACTCAGGATAGCATGATCTGAAATTGTTGACTATTTACTAGCTTGGTATATATCAAAAGAGAGCCACTCAAGATGATCTGATATGTAATCGTTTAACTAGTTACTAGCTTGGTATAAATAAAGCGAGACCACTCTGGATAGCATGATATGAAATTGTTATCTAATTACTAGCTTGGTATAAATAAAGAGAAAGCCAGTCAAGATGGTCTGATATGTAGTCGTCTAACTAATTACTAGCTCGGTATATATAAAGTGAGAGCCGCTCAGGATAGTATGATATGAAATTGTTGACTAATTACTAGCTTGGTATAAATAAAGAGAAAGCCAGTCAAGATGGTCTGATATGTAGTCGTTAAACTAATTACTAGCTCGGTATAAATAAAGCGAGAGCCACTCAGGATAGTATGATATGTATTGGTTTAAGTAGCTGTTAGCTTAGTATTGATATACTGTGAGCCACTCAGGATAGTCTGATACGTACTGGACGCAATATGGTTTAATTACTATCTTAATATAAGTAAAGTGAGAGCCACTCAGAAAAGTATGATAGGTAATAGTTTAGCTAACTACTAGCTTGGTATAAATAGAGTGAAAGCCACTCAGGATAGTCCGATAGTTAATAGTTCAGTTAATTACTAGCATGGTATAAATAGAGTGAGAGCCACTCAGTAAAGTACGATAGGTAATAGTTTATCTAATCACTAGCTTAGTAAATGTTGAGTGAGAGCCACTCAGAGAAGTATGACAGGTAATAGTTTAGCTAATTACTAGCTTGGTATATATAGAGTGAGAGCCACTCAGGATAGTCCGATAGGTAATAGTTTAGCTAATCACTAGCTTGGTATAAATAGAGTGAGAGCCACTGAGGAAAGTATGATAAGGTAATAGTTTAGCTGATCACTAGCTTGGTATAAATAGACTGAGAGCTAATTACTAGATGGTATAAATAGCGTGAGAGCCACTCAAGAAAGTATGATAGGTAATAGTTTAGCTAATCACTGGCTGGTATAAATGAAGTGAGAGCCACTCAGAAATGTAAAAATGATGATAGTTTAGCTAATTACTAGCTTGGTTAAAATAGCGTGAGAGCCACCGAGGAAAGTATGGTAGGTAATAGTTTAGCTAAATACTAGCTTGGTATAAATAGAGCCACTTAGGAAAGTATGATAGGTAATAGTTAATAGATAATTACTAGCTTGGTATAAATAGCGTGAGAGCCACTGAGGAAAGTATGATAAGTAATAGTTTAGCTATTTACTAGCTTGGTATAGATTGAGTGAGAGCCACTCAGGATAGTCCGATAGGTTAAGTAGTTTAGCTAATTACTAGCTTGGTATAAATTGTGTGAGAGCCACTCAGGAAAGTATGTTAGGTAATATTGTAGCTAATTACTAGCTTGGCATAAATAGAGTGAGAGCAGCTCAGTAAAGTAGGATAGGTAAATCACTATAATAAATAAAGTAAGAACCACTCAGGATAGTCGGATATGTAATATGTAAAAGTTCAAGTAGTTACTTGCTTCGTATAAATAAAGTAATTGCCACACACCAACTGATCCGGCTTAAATTGAGCTATACACACTACAGTCGACAAAGCATCAGTAAGGCCTTTCTATAATCCTCCATGTTTGTGGTATTTTTGTTTTGCTTTTGGCGTCATTTCTATGAGTTTTGGGGGCTATGCTTGTGTGTAGAAATTTGTAATGTGTGCATAGACAGTTGGGAACATTCCAACATCCAATTTGACCTGCATCACAGTTTACAATGGCTTTGTGTGGCGATACGATTTTGCTCGCACGCGTGGGGTTATCAACGCCAATACAGTTAAAACATAACCAGACTATTTTCCTTGGGACATGATACCTTTGCTACTCTTGTTCTTTAGACTTCGCTTCGCTTAACAGTCACACATTGTTCAATAAACTCAAGCACAAACTAAATACATCCGCCCGGACAGCTATGCGCACTTTTAATAAACAGCAAGATGCATCTACATCTAGAAACCCAAAAAAGGGATCCAAAAGTTTCATGGCGTCAATAGATGGTACTTCGGATATGAAGTCTACTGGCAAACAGTGTGTAAGCTCGAAAGCTGTACTAATCGAGACCACAGCAGCATTTCCCGCAGATCATCGCAACGTATGAAAGGCCGAGCTCTACTCTGACGCCCAGTTTAACGGGTTCCGTACTCAGAGTGTGTGATGCCGCGAAGGACGTTCCTGTAGCTGATTCAGTAGATTTGCGTATTAAATAAGGTCCAATCGGTCTACACTTGAGCATTGAAGGCTGATTTATCCATCTCGTACATATAGGGCTCCGTAGATAAGTTTGTATAAGGGAGGCTAACTATGTTTTAGGGTTTTAAAGTTGTTAGCTGCACACGTTGCACGCACATCCTTTGAGTGTGAAGCTACGACACCAACTTGATTGAAGTATCAGTGAAGGAAAGTGGATACTCAATATGAAAAATCACAGGCTTCAAGCATTGCAATGTATTGACTCGGCAATATAGCTGTTAATCTCATGTGCTAAATACCAACATACCTGCTCATCACCGACCAGTATACCTACTCATCAGCAACCAATATACGTACTCATCACCGACCTGTATACCTATTCATCGCCGACCAATATGCCTACTCATCGCCGATCAATATACCTACTCATTTCCGATCAATATACCTGCTCACCACCGACCAATCTACCTACTCATCGCCGATAAATATACCTACTCATCGCCGACCAATATACCTACTCATCGCCAACCAATATACCTACTCATCGTCGTCCAATAAACTCACTCATCGCCGATCAATATACCTACTCATCACCGACCAATATACCTACTCATCATCGTCCAATAAACTCACTCATCGCCGATCAATATACATACTCATCACTGACCAAAACACCTACTCACGACCAGTTTACATACTCGTCGCCGAGCAATATACCTGCTCGTCGCCGACTTGCCTGTATTGGTAAGGGTTGTCGCTCACAGTACGGTTCAATTTCACAAGAAAGGTCAGATCGGTCTCCAGATATGTGCGTGAAAAGATTTTAGTGTATGTCGTTTTTTTCCTGAAGTGCACTGAAAAGTAAACGCATAGTTCTATTTAGCTCAACGTACATTTAATTCGTTCCAGCATTCGATTTTGTTTACGTTAACTTTTGAGCGGTAAAGTGCTAGTTCTATTTTTTTCTACGATTTATTTACATCCAACTGGTTACAGCATTCGTTTTCGTATACGTTTTTTCTTTTGAGAAGTAAAGGAATAGTTGTATTGTTTTACTACGATTTATTTTCATACAACTCTTTTCCGCCTTTTGTTCCAGTGCATAATATGATTTAGAGACGTACACTACAAATTCTACTGCACTCAATAAATGGCCGTGATTTGGCTCAAATCAGAATCAATTTCCAGTACACAATATGGCATTGAGAGGTAGAGTACTAATTCTACTTTATTTAGTGGTCAAAGTTCATCTAATTCGGTTCGTTAGCTGTCTTCCGTACATATGCCGACCTTGATCGTTTGCTAGGTATCTGGTGAGATATAGTGTTGCTATTAGTCGCTTTGCGCTGGAAGTGTTTCTGCGGGCGGAGTGATCAAATTCTTGCGGTTGTTCAGCCCTTCGGCGACATCGGCCCAAAACTTCGACCATTCCCTGCACAATTAATTTAGTTGTTACATTAAGAGTCAACAAAATGGAATGCCATTTACTCAGCAAATGATAGATCGCTAGATGAGAAAAGATGTTATTGATGATAAATATGATACCCATTCAGCTATTACTGACAAACATGAAACACATTCAGCTATTGCTGACAAACATGAAGCACTATCTGGAAGCAAATTCTTGTGAGGAACTTGGAGCAGCCCTGGAAACACGATGCCATTCCAGGATTTGTAACGACGAAACAAATCCTCACTAATTCCATTCTTTTCATGGCAGAATATATTGTCAGTCCACCACACAATTCGTACCTTTGCGCAATGTATCCACTCTGATCCACATCCATCTGAGACATCAAACAGGTGACAATTGTGAATAAGTGATCGCGCTGCAACACTCGCAATGCATAGCTCACAGCTGAAGTGGTCGGCAGCGGTGGAAAGGGCTACCGAAGAATACGGCAGGAGATCTCAAGGTCAGTCTCAGCACTTGCAATAAACTTGTTCATGTACTTTTCCCGAAATTAGGGTACTTCAGATAGAGGCTCGAATTAAGTAGGTTTCAGCGAAGATGCAACTAGGGAGATGGGTTCTATAGGCTATTCTGCTACGACAATACCTGAGTAGTCACTATGTCGATGTCTACGGCCGAAATAGACGGAACGTTGCGGTATAGGAACCCTGTGGAAATCGAGAATGTTCAGGAAAATAAAGGTAAAAATTTCGCAGATTACGAACTAAGGAAATTAAATGTAAATGTGAGCGCACTTGGACCGCTGCTTGCATACGGTGCTTCAGAACATACCCTTGAGTTCTTCTTTACTCAGTACCCCGTCTCCGTTGAGATCCATGGACCTGAAACCTTGTTTAGACTTTGCTACAACATCCGGTGTCTCCTCCACATACTTTCGAACGGACTGGTGGTGAAGCGAAATACAGTCAGTTAATGGTTGCCATGACAGCGCTTTCGTTCGACTCGTACTATTGCCATCAACTATGACTGCAAATTGTATCGCCACATACTGATTCTACACTCTCGACCTGAGAGCTATTTGTGTGTCAGCCATGTAAATAAAACTCTCACACACATAGGCCAAGTTGTAGCATTTCTATCTACCACCCTCTATTGCTCAGAAATACTCGCTCGAGCAAAGGTAAGCCAAATTCGAGGTATCAAACATACAAAGCATGTGATCTTATACACATGCACAGGACATATAACTCTTCACTCACTCCACTGATGTTATCAATGTACGGTGTTTTAGATATAACATACGCATGATTTAACACTAAACCGAATTCCTTCCCACGTGTGGGGCGCACAGTTGTAGGAGTCTCGGCCTTACGCAAAGTACGACAACAAAAATAGTTAGAGCAATTGCGGCTGACATGTACTTAAATGCTCTCATGGCATTGCACGAATGACCACTTTGAAGGTGAGAGAATATTGAGACAAACAATAGTGAAACACATGCTATGCAGACAACTACAGTTACGCTCAATATCGCTTACCGCGGGCATGGGTGTTCGAGTGATAGGCTTTGTTTTATCACTTAACACAAATTCTTTTTCAGATCTAGGGCGCAGATGGATGACAGATCCGTCGGACACATTGTAGTCTTCCAGCGAGGGACCTTCCTGTAGTTTCTTACCTATGAAATGGTGAGATAATGGATAAGCATTGACTAATAGGCCTAAAATAAGCTGCCGCAATGACAATACACACCGATCCCACAACCGAGACCCATGGTACCGGCAATATCTACTGTGCGACCTGATTCTCTAGGGAAAAAAATCCCAAGCTTTCGTCTCGCAAGGAGTGTGTAAGCGTATCTGGCACCTATCTACTGCAGACAGACGGAGCATAGTCAAGAACATTCACCATACCTTTGAAGTATAGGTTTTGTCTCTCAGGTGGGATCTGCAGTATACCAAAGTATGGGTATCGAATACAAATGGGAGAAACGATCCTCAACTCATCAGGCGAGGCTTAAGAATGCACGCCGTGTATGTCGCGCATCAGCAGTTGCTGATATCTAGTCTACCGAATCGAGAAACTATTTTCGGTACTTGTCACAGTAGCTATGAGCCATGAGCGCTAGTTGAGTATTCCGATCAAACCGATTCCGAGACCCACCGTCCCATATTGTCTCCGCGCAAAGTGAATACAACAGTGAACGTTATATACGAAACAAAATGGTAAAGCAGAAGCTATCTGACAACTACTTTCACATATATACAATAGTCCATATCTTATAGGCTCATGGGTAAGCCAAGCCATCATTAGTACGCCAATTGCCACAGTGATGTGCGCAAGAGTCGTTGGATTAGACTATAGAACGTCCGTACACAATTGAAGACTACTGAGTCGCGTATGTATGATTCGATACGGCACACACTTTCAAGTAAATCAACGGTACATCGATGAACAATCCAACGGAAGGACGTGTCCATTGACCATGAGAGCTACTTCAAGACATACATTCAAACACACATGTAGAAATATGTAAATACATACATACATTTTCCTACATATAAACACACTACACAAACATGTACATCAGTAAAATACAGTAAACCGGCATATTACTTACTAGCGTGGCGTCTTCGATACGGTACTTAAGATCCCTCACTGGAACACCAGCGTGCACGAATATCTCGCACAGACGCGTGCCTAGAAAGTTCTTGACGTGGATCATCACATCGCGATTCGAAGCCTGTATGCAACGCGCGGAAGTTTCAGTTGAGATAGTGGTTCCAGGTCTTATATATATATATATATATATACATATATATATACATATAGACATAGATATATATATATATATATATATAATATATATATATATATACATATATATATATATATATATATAATAACTATATATACATACAACTACTAACTAACAACTAACTAATTAATTAATTAATTAATTAATTAATTTAATTTAAATTTAACTAATAACG